GGGGGAAAACTGCTCTGCCCTGATCTGGTGAATTCATCCGCACTGTATTTCTTCCTAATCTGGTAAACTGTGGGGGAATTCAGAGCGTTGTGAGAGCCGGCGCGGAGACCCCTGGTGCGCATGGTGCCATATTTCAGGAGGCGCCACTGAGTGGCACCTGGAGAATTAGGCAAATGCGGCCCGATGGTCAAAATGTAATGAGATTTCTTTACAAAAAATACAATCTCTTTAAATATGTGGCGGGTTCTTTCCAGCAGCTTTATAATTAAATTTCCCAGTGAAAGTCAGGCCGTCTGGCCCAAAGAATGTTCTGCCCGCCCTGCCGGCCGCCGGAGCCCCACACACTCACCCGCTGTCTCTGAAAGACTGTGTCTGGCTCAGACGCCCTCCCCAGGCCAACTCGGCAATATTATTCAAGGGCCTACTGTGTGCTCCACGTGCCCTTCTCTTAACCTAAAGTCAAAGCAAGCTTCCAAGCTCACCAACCCTTCTAGAACCTTCTGCAATCCTGGAAGGCAGATGAGGTGCACCATGAGCAGCGAGCCTTGAATTTTCCACATTAATTACTCAGTTCCTTTCTCTCCGCAATGGAGTCTGGTCTCCTTTGGTGCACTCTCCCAGCGCTGAGGAACGCTCTGTCATAGGCAGCAGAGCTTCTTCTAAACTAGACTTGCAAGCTTTTGCCCCATTTCCCAGGTGACCAAATCTTCGTGCAAACTCTCTGTGGATGGAGAAGAGACAGATCTTAGCCACAGAGGGACCTGATCCCTGGGAAGGGAGCCAGCCACCAGAAAGAGCACTCGTCACCCGTTGGCTGTTTATCTCCCTGAATCCACGCTGTGTCGCCTGGGCCGGGGCTGGTCAGGGCGGCTGTTCTGTGTGAAGAGGGGCACCTGGTGGGCAGCAGAGAGCCATGGGATGAAAGATGGGTCAGAGCCTCGTCCTGAGATGCCCAAGGCTGTCGTGAGCAGCCGAGCGGAAGGTGGGAGGCCCGGGACCCAGCATTCATCTCCAATAGGGGGGCAGGGGTGCGTGAGCGTGTGTGAGTGTGCATGCACTTGGGCACGGGGTTGCACTTCCTCTCCCGGAGGCCGCTGGCCCAGCACCCCGCAGCCCCACATTTCCTCTGACCTACACGATGCCTGTGTGGTGAGAGCGGGACCCCCTTCTAGCTGTTGGGTAAACGGCGTTTTGTTTCACGTCGTGTCGCGTGGACAGGCTGCTGTTAAAAGGGTAGCTGATGTTCTTGTCCCCACACTCGTGCCCTCAGTGGGGACGACCCCACTGCGTCACCAGTAAACGCTGGATTAAGAAATATGCTCTCGTCCCCATCAGGCTGAATTTTCTAAGAAGCAGAGTTTTTCTCAGGGGTGGCTTGTTTTTTTGGTACAAATTCAGCTGGGAAGGACGGTCCTTATCAAGTCCCCCTGGAGCCTCTATGGAGATGAGCCTCCGACTGTTATCGTGCTCCGGAAATAAGCTCCCCAAGAAGAAGTCATCCTTCGTTGCTGAGATAAATCCTACTCAGGTGTGTGGAGGAGGAAAAGTCATTTTCCCTCCACCCTTCTGAGCCCCTGGCTGGGACCCCTGTGATGGAAGGCAGGTCCCCCAGAGAAAAACCAAACGCAAGTTTACCAACATGTCAACCTCATGTGTACGTGGGAGACCCAGGGATAACGAGCAACTCCCTAAGGTGGCTGAGAATTCAGGCTTAAACACCATCTTCAGAGGGGAGGAGCGAGGATGGGGCCTTTTGGGGGAGAGGAAATGACGTTTAGGAAAGATGGCTGGGCCTTAGAAGACAGGCGGGAGGTGTGACCTTGGTGACAGAGTCTGTCTGACTGTGGTCTCGACGTCCCATCTCCCTCCTGTGACAAGAGCTCATCCTCCCTGGGTGACCGAGCTCCCTGGGAGAGACCTGCGATGACTGACTCCTTTTGGAGGGTCTGTACTGAGGCAGCTGAGGGGAAGTCAGAGGACGCTCTCCCTGCGTCCGCTGTATTTCAAGTGCCTGCAGCTCAAGATAACCAACACGCCAAGGCAGCAGATTTTTGGGTGGCGTATGCTGCCCTTCATCCCCATCTTTGAAAGTTCCCCAAGCAGTGTCATGGTCCAGGAAGCGGGCTGGCAGATGGTCGCGTCTCTCAGTCCTGAGAAAAGGCCAGTTCAGTTAGCCGCATCTCATTTCAGGAGGCAGGATGGCACGGGGATCTGAATGGTGCAAACAGTCAGGCATTGAATACGAGGCATTTCTAGGGAAACAAAAAATAAAACAAAGGTTAATGGTTGGAGCAGACTTTAAACCAGTTTCAGGGTCCAGAGGGCAACCAGTCGAGATTTGTAGATGCCGAGCTCAGAGCATCTTCTGCGGTTTGAGTGCCATCACTGATGTCATCAAGTGTCCCAGTGGCCTTTCTGAGTGGCCCACACAGCGACAGGCGTGAAGGTTGTCCATGCAGGAGCTGTTGTGACAGCTTCCCTGAGGTTAAATCACCCCATCCAGCCTCAGGTCTCAGGACTCCTGGAAAAGGGCAGTTTGGGTTCTTAGTGATTCCAAGTCAGAAGGTGGGAGAAAATTAGAAGCATTGGTTTGGAGAATTATAGCCAGATATTTGAGGAAACTAGAAGATTTCAGGATCCAGTCCAGTTTATGGGCAGATGATAAAATCTCAAAGACAATGAACAGTGCTAGACTCTGATGTCCACCAGGGTGTGTAACAGCCTTCTCCTGAAACAGTTTTTTTCTCTACAATCACCCCCATTCCTAAGATAGTCACAGAGGACTAATTTGTTTGCAAAATGAGTCTAGTCTCATTAATTTGGCCCGATTATTTACATATCAGCAAGAATAGTGGTGACCGTATAGGCTGGTTTTAAGTCTGCTTTGCTGGAACTTGTAACGGGGACTCTCCGATTAGACACCAGCACTGTCCCCTCCGTGTGGGGAGGGTCTGGGAGGTCACTGCTGAACCCCGCTGGCTGGGATTCCAGTTCTGATCGTCACAGCGACGTCCGTCTGCGGAGCTGGTGTGCGATTCTCTCGCTCTGTGCTCTCAGGGTGAGGACGACGGCCTGCGGCGGCTCAGGGGAAGCCAGGCGGGCTGCTGCTTCTCTCTCTGGGAAGCTTTCACACCGCTCCTAGGTGAGCTTCCCGGTGCCTGGAGCGCTATTCAGAGGAAGTTCCTGAAGAGATAGTGGTCTCTTCAGGTTTGCTATTTCTCTAGTCATTTGAAATCTTATATTTTCTCAAAAACTAATACATTTCATCGAGATTTTCAACTGTGTTAGCATAAAATTAAAGAATGAAATGTAAAAATAGTCTTATTTTTTCTCTTAAGTTTTCCAAACGTGCGTCTATTTTCTTGAGGATTTTTCCCCTAAGTACAGCTCTTAAATCTATTTATCAATTCTTCTATATTTCTGTTTTCAGACTCAGAAACGTCTGTGTCTGTCTTTGTTGACGACTCCAGTGTTTGCGGCAGGCACCCTGCTTTACCATTCCTATCCTTCTGGCATTGGCTGCTCAGTTCGTTTGCTGTAATTCTGTTTTAATGATAAAAACACTGAAAATTAAGGATTTGCTCTGACTCAACCTTTGGCCAAATTCCTCGGGTCTCCCTCTGCAATAGACTCGTTGTCATCACTATTTCTAAATCTCCTCTAAAGGCAGTTTTGATTTCCAGTTGACCCCATGGTTATTTCAGAATGTTTTTAAAATTTCTAAAAGGTCATTTTTTTAAGTTTTATTGTTAAATTTTAATTGCATTGTTCTCATGAAAAGCCCTACTCAGTTTTGCCTTGTGGAATATTTGAGGTTTTCATCATGGTCCATTTTGCTATAAAATGCTGTCATGGTCCCCTGGGCCTTGATTTTTAAAGTTGTATTTTCCGGAGGTGTATTCGCAGTGGAATGCCCATCTGTTAATGGGAACTTATTGATTCTACCGTTCGAATCTCTGTGGCTTGTTGACACTTTCCCATGGCTCAGAGAGGCCAGTTCCCTTCCACGGCGCCAGCAACGGCGATTCTGACTGCCCCTCATCATGAGGGCTTTTGCGTCATCTAAATGAAAGATGCACGTCTTATTTTAATTCCACGTGTTCCTCTTGTTTCCCACAGACTTATATTGATCTAATTACCTGATCAAAAGTAAAAGGGTGTCTTTGCAGAACCCTTCCCCAGCCCGTGTGAACAGTCGAATTGTGCATTTGTCTCTGCCCTTTTCCTTCCCTCCCACAGTTCTCAGTCTTTGCTGACTCACTTTGGGTTTTGGATCCAGATAACCATTATTAAATTGTTTTTTCCAACAATATACAGCTTCTGTAAAAAAAAAATATTTGTATGTGTGTATTTAACCCTGTAACCATGTTGACAGTTTTCAGCGTTAGATTTCTGGAGCGGGTCATTTCTGTCACGGCCCCCTATTCTTGAGGTCCCCACTGTGAGTCACCTCCCAGGGCCTGAACCATGTCTTCCAGTGTCTCTGTCAAAGGAGCAAGAAGAGGGGACATCTTTGCACATCCAGAAATGTCTGCTGTCTTCCCAAGGGATGAAAACTTGAGGACATAAATGTATTGGGTCCCAGCCTTTTTCCCTCAAGACCCCACAGAGGCAGCTCTGTTTTCCGCCTTCATCCTTTCCCGGAGCCTTTGCACCAGGGCCTTGGCCATTTTAACCCTCCTTTCCAGTCCTCCTCAGTGGAGCCAAAGGTCTCTGCGTGTGTCACACTCCCTGCAGAGCCTTTCCACCTGGAATATTGTGTCTTGTCCCACCTGTTACCTGGTGGGTCACTGGACGCGTAGTTGGTGGCACTCAGTAGAACCCTGACCCCTGACAGCCCTTTTGGTTCCCAAAGTGGATGGAGCACTAGCTGTGGTCCCAGGTGTCCCTGAGAATGGCCAAGTGTGAGGAAATCGGGGAGGGGCCGAGGTCAGAGAAAGGAGCGTGGCTCTGGCTCCTAGCCGCAGGCTGACTCCCCTCTCCCTTCTTCTTCCTTCCAGATCCGGTCCGACAAAGACAACGACATTCCCATCCGGTATAGCGTCACGGGCGTGGGTGCCGACCAGCCCCCCATGGAGGTCTTCAGCATCGATTCCATGTCCGGCCGGATGTACGTCACTCGGCCCATGGACCGCGAGGAGCGAGCCTCCTATCACGTGAGTATCCACGGCCTCGGGTTTCCGACTGTAGAAGGAGAACACAGACCTGAGCCTATGCCAGGATCACCGGAGGGCTGCTAAAGCCCCCTGTGCTGGGCGCCGCCCAGAGTTTCTGATTCAGTGAGCGCAAGGTGCACAGGAGAATTTGCACTTCGAACACACTCGCAGGTGGCGCCGGCAGATCTGGGACCACACTGGGAGAACACCAATCTAGAAGGTCTCGATCCACGCCATATCCCAGGGGCTCGTTAGTGCTGATGGGGGTCACACAGCTGCCGTGCACACTCGGGGCCCTCTCTAAAGCACCACCCTGCTGTCGTCCCCGTCCTCTCCAGCTCTGGAGCACGCACCCCGCAGCCTTCCGCTCCTCCTGTGTCTCTGAGAGCAGAAAAGTGGCTCTGAAGTGAGAGCCGCTCTGGTTCCATCTCCGAGCTGTGTATGGAGAGTAAAATGGATGAGGAAGTGGAGGCTGCGTGGCTCGGCTACAGGGGCTGTCAACTCCCTTCCTCCTTGGCCTCTCCAACATGGTGGCTAAGCAGAGAGGGGCCCTGGAGCAGGGCTGGCAATAGAGGGTCTCACACCCTCAGGCCCAATGCTCCGTGATCCTGTGGGACTGGGCCCCTCTCTGGGCTCTGCTGCCTTATCTGCAAGATGAGGCTGTGCGCCAGCTGGAGGTGGCAGGGGCTGGAGCCAGAGCTCAGGGCCAAGCCCCCGCCCTCACCAGGTGAGCCCTCGGGCACTCACCACTGGCCTCCTTCGGTTTCCTGCTGGAACGCGTGCTCGGGGTCTCATCTCCAAAGTTCTCCAGCTGCTTTGGAGGGGCAGCCCTTGCCAGGTGCCTCTCCTGCCCCCGTCAGCCTCTGGCGAGCCCTGCTGTCCCCAGTGCCAGTGTCAAGCTGCAGCCAGGTCTTCTCAGGCTTGTTTCTTCTGAATCTTCAAGACTCTTTCTGCTGAAAGAAAACCTTTGTTGTAAGCGGTGGGCAGCCCTCACACTGTGGACGCCGTGGGGGTCCCAGCCCATCTCTGCTCTTATGGCAGGGCTAACCACGGAATTTCTGGGTCCCAATGCAAAATATAACAAGGGACCCCTCATCCAAACTGAATAAGAATGTCAGGGAAGTGAGAGCAGAGCGTCCAGCCCAGCACCAGCTCTTCTGAGCGTGGGGCCCTGTGTGACTTCACAGAACACAGGCCATGAAGCTGGCCCTGCACGCTGGCTCTGGGTGCATGGCCCTCTCTTGAAGGGGGTCGACCATGAGGCCATTTTCACGGAGGCTGCGGCTCGAGAACCCGTAGATCTCACACCTCGTCTCCATCTGGCCTCCTGTGGCCTGTCCAGGCCCTGGTGAAAACTGCCCCAGAGCCACTGAGTGTTAACTTCCTTTCCTGGAGGACCCCTGCCCCGGGTCCTAGGCACCTAGCTCAATGCTGAGAGCACCCACGCCCCCTCACCCCCACCCCACTGTCACCCATTCCTCCAACTCCTCCCCCAGCCCCTGGGCTGGTGCTGGGAAGGCAGCAGCCAGGTTTAGGGGAAGAAGATTTAATTGACAGTGGTTTGGGACCTCCTAATGAGTTCTCAGCCCACCGTTAGCTGGCAAGGCAGGTGCACAGAACCACCTAGACAATTCAGCCAGCACCGACGTCCAGCCAGCCATGCGGCAAGAAGCACATCGACTTCACATGGCTGTTGGCTCCCCACATGGGCTGTGTGCTGCCATCAACACGTGTTCATAGCACGAAGAGTCAACTCCCCTTGTCTGCCAACAACTATGTGCAGAGTGAGAGACTTAGAGAGAGAGAGAGACAGAGACGGACAGAGACAGAAGGGGAGAAAGAGATAGAGACAGAGAGAGACAAAGAGACAGAGACAGGAGAGAGAGAGAGAGAGCAAAACAGAGACAGAGAGAGAAATAAAGACTGAGACACAGAGAGAGAGGGGAGAGACAGAGACAGAGAACCAGAGCAAGAGACAGACAGACAGACAGACAGAGGAAAGGAGACCTGACCTGCAGACAGCAGAGAGAGTTAGTCTCGAAGGAGCTAAATGAAGGGCACATGGACCCGCCCTTGAAGCCCTCGCTGGCAAGTGCCGCACAGGATGTCTTTGTAAGACTTCTCACCGGAGCAGAGCTGGGCGGTCAGCTGCCTCTCCAAGGGCAGCATCCGCGTGCGTGGCCTGGGGAGCTGCAGCCCTGGCAGGCGCGGGTCAGGCCGGGCATCTGGGACCATGGGAAAGATGGCACTGCCGGGCTGTCAGTCAGGGCTGTTTCTGGAGGACTGAGACCCCAGCACCTGCTGAGAGAACCTGCACCGAGTGGAAAGGTCCTTCCTTTCATTTTAGTTTAATTGCTTTGTGGAACTGTTGAGCTCAAAACTAGATTTACTTTTGGTGTTTCTGGTTAACTGTTTCCTCTGCAATTCACACCAAAATCAGCATTGGAATCCCCACCGACTCCCTGAAAAGTCTGTCCAGGCTCAGCCCACCTGCTGCCTCCAGAGCTGCTCAAGCCGGCGCTGCCCCCCTGACAGGGGGCGGGGCCTCAAGGACCGCTGCTGCCAGGGCCAGCTCTGTGCACCGGTGCTCAGGAGCAGCCTTCGTCCGGGCTCACAGCTCAGCCCACAGCAAGAGCACCAGGGGGAGTGGGCTGGAGGCCAGGTGGCCGATCCAGGGGGCAAGGTCACCCACCTACCCCTTGCTCACAGGCAGGAGTCGTCAGTCCTCCAGGTGCCAAGATGTGCTGGCATCGCGCAGAAGAATCCAGCTGCACTTTTCAACACGCCTCCGTTTCTCTGTCCCTTTTCCTGAGGACTCCACAGCCTCACTCAGCACCAGACCCTGCCGGGAGACGCACGATGTCTCTGCAGCTGGACGGTTCTGCAGCAAGGCCCGTGGAAAAGCCAGGGGTCACAGGCTGGCAGTCCCGAGGGAAATAGGGTGGCATGCCTGGCCTGGAGGGGAAGCTGAGATGCCCCAAAGGCCCTGGTCCCCTCCAGGGACACGTGCAGACCCCACGCCCTCCTCACCCAAGCCAGCCAAACGGGAAGCTGGAGGGTGGGACGGCTGGTGAAATGAGGGGACCCACCACCCCCAAAGTTTGGAACCCCCTCTAGGCAGTCGTCATGTGCCTCCTAAGACCCCAGCATGACCCTCTCAGGACTTCCACGGCACAGGATGCCCGTCAGGCCTCTGGGGGCAGCGGGGCCGGCCAGCGGGGGTGTCAGTTGTCCATGCTGCCCGACACACAAGCTCCAACAGAGCGGCTTCGAATAGCGCCCACTTATTAGCTTATGTCTGTAGGTCAGCAGTCCAGGTGGGCTCTGCCTAGGGTCTCAAAAGATGGAAATCACGGGGTCAGCCAGCCTATGAGCCTACTGGAGGCCCTGGGAGACTCTGCTTCCTGCTCATTCAGGCTGCGGGAGGTTCAGGTCCCTGTTTCCTCGATGACTGTCGGCCTGGGGCCACTCTCCCCTCTTAAAAGACACCTGCAAGTCTCTGACCCCCTCGCCTACCACCGCGGGAGAAAGCGCTCTGCTTGTAGGGCCCTGAGGCTATCTCAGTCCCACCCATACTGTCTCTCTGTCTTACGGTCAACGGTGCCACAGAATGTAACCCACTCGCGGGTTCCACCATGCATTCATATCTGGGGGTCTGCGCCCCACATGCTGCAGGAGCCATTTTCGAGTTCTCTCGCCCTCCTGCCCTGGTAACTGTTTAATCCCGTCCCCTGTTCTGCCCAACTCCTTCGGCTGATGAGGGTGGTCAGAGTTGAGATTGAGCCGATGAACTGTGGACACCGTCACCTTAAGACACCAACATGTAGGGACCGACCTCGTGGTCAAGTGGTTGGGATGGCGTGCTCCACTTTGGCGGCCCAGGGTTTCACTGGTTCGGATCCTGGGCGCAGACAGGGCACTGCTCGTCAGGCCATGCTGAGGTGGCGTCCCACATGCCACAACCAGAAGGACCTGCAGCTAGAATATACAACTATGCCCTGGGGGGTTTTGGGGGGAAGAAGGGAAAAAAAGAAGATTGGCAACAGATGTGAGCTCAGGCCAATCTTAAAAAAAAAAAAGACACCAACATGTAAACATTTAAATGCAGGAAATAAAGGAGCAGTCATTGTTTTGCACGTTGATTCTCTAGAAGATTCTTTCAAGGATTCCATAGTAAGACGTGCCGTCGTGTCCCACCACGTACCATCATCTCGGGCAAGTCTCCCAATCTTCCTGAGCCCCAGTTTTCCCTCCACAGACGAGGGGTTGGGACAATACCAGTCTCACGGGGTCCTGTGAAAACTGTGGTAAGTTAGCGTGTGTCGAGCTCTTGGGCGCTGCCCAGACCGGAGCGAGAGCACGGTGAGCACCGGCTGCTGATGTTGGTGGAGGACAATCCCCAGAGTGCACTCAGAGGTGACCTTCAGGGCCCACACGGAGTGTTCCAGACTCGGTGCCCCCAGGGAGGAAACCGACAGTCCACAATCAAGATATGAAGAACATCGAGCATCCAGAGGGGAGAGAGTGGGGTCCCCCACATAGTGGGACTGTTGTCCACCAGCAGGCATGCACACTCTCCTCCAGCACTCACTCCCACCCCAATGCGAGACCTAGCCTGTATACTGACATTTCCCCATCTTATCCCCCGTGACAAGAATAGAAAAGTGTCCTATTCGGAGCATCGCAGGAAATTCACTTTGCATGTGACACTCAGATTTGCAAGTCACAGAAAGTTTGGACGGCCCCTCTGTCGACATTTCTTGTCTCCACCACCAAGGCAGGACCCTCTCCAGTCCCGCAGCGATGTGCCCAGCCTGAGGGATGGGGGGGGGGGGGTCTTTCCTTGGAGATTTCCACAGACACTATCAAATCTAAGTCAAACTTGGGGGTGGGTAGAGTGTGACAAGGACCCCTTTCGTCGCTTTTCATCTTTATCTCCACTCGGGCTGCTCCTGCTGCTAAAGATAGCGCCTGAAACTGGCGGTGTCATTTCACTTAGAAGACACTAACTTTAATTTTGGCTCAGGATGACTCTTCTTCAAAGGCTTCTCGACCTTCGACTCAGGGCGATATTGCACGGCTGCGCTTGACAAGGTGAAGGATTGCCTGGCCATCCGTGGGAGGACTTCCACGGCAGCACGGGGTGCAGATCGGGGTTCCCAGGAACGAGGGGCCTGATGGCGGCTGGGGCGGGGCGGCTGCTTAAGACAACAAGGCAGCATCTCAAGATTTGCGCAATGCAGATCACCTCCTTAAGTAAAGCCAGCCTCGAGATGCTCCTTAAACACACCATTTCCAGGGCGAGATCCCACTGCGGGCTGTCGGGCTGGACCTGAGCACTGAGGCCGCGTGGACGCAGTTACACCGTCTCCCTCCCCAAGGCATGGAAGGCGCCTCCTTCTTCTCCCCCGAGGCTGGCGGAGTCGGGGGAGGGGGCTGTGCACCAAGGGGCGACGTGGAGGATTGTGCGGAGCCCTCAGCTCGGAGACGCGTCCCACCGCAGGCCTCGAGCACAACCTCTTCTCAGCACTCTTGGCTTGGCGCTGTCTTGTCACAAAGACCTTGAGGTCTGATGTGTCCAGCTTAGGGGGTGACGTGGTTTCAACAGAGAGATGGGGGCCGGCACACTGCTGTGTGACAGAGACCACAGGCAGATCCCGCCCTTCTACAAGTCTTGGTTCCCCCTAAACCCCAGAACCCCCGTGGCCCCACTCCAGCCCTCTGCTGCCCCCGGGGCTCGGCCACTCTGTATGCCCCATGCTGTCTTCCCTGTCCCCTTCTTCAGGCCTTGGCTCAAATGTCTCCTCCTCAGAGAGGCCTGCCTGGCCTCCCCTCAACCTCGGTGGGTCACTGCCATTGCACCCAGATTACTTTTGGCTTCTTTATCTGCTTTGTGCCTGTCTCCCTTCTCCACGAGCACCTCCAAGGGAGGCCACAACTGTGTCACGGACCATAAGTCTAGGATCCAGCCCAGTGCCTGGCACGTGGAGGCCCTTGACAGACATTGACTGAGTGAATGAATGAAGGGGTGAATGAATGAATGAAAGAAAAATCCCAAAATTAAGGGGTGAGTCTGAGCAGCCCTCAGGACCCTTCCAGCCCGAGTGCAGGGCATCCCCCTTTGTACCTTGACGATGTTCCCATATGAAGCACTCTGGAGCCCCTGATCCAGCAGAGCAGGGGGCTTCCACCCCACGGTCCCCCATTTTCTTCCGTGGTGCCCCAAGAACAGATAAGCCAACAGAGTGGACTCACGATAGATGCCCAAGTTAACCTCAGCTGCCGCTCAAGTTCCAGGCCCCTGACGGCGCCCCCCCGTCAGTCTCCCCCCCAGGCCAGACCTCTCAGTAGTGGGAGTTTGAGCCCCCCACCCGTGGTTGGCACAAATGGCTTTTCTGCAGCCACTGTAGGTAGACGTGAAGCCTCGTCGTCAGTGGGGCAGGACCAGTCTGAGCAGGCCCGGGAGGTCCCGGGGGGCATCGGCACGGGGGCATCCGGTCACCTTCCAGCTCCTGCATCACCCCATTCGCCCTCTCACAACTCCCTCATTTCCACAGAGGAGAAACTGAGGCTTGGAGAAGTTTCGTGGCGTGTCCCAAGCCCACCCCACCCCAGACCCAGGCAGCCTCTTCCGGGGGCCTGCACTGTTGTGTCGCCCGCACCCCAATGCTCTGGGTCTGAGCCTGACAGTCGGGAGTGACCCCACAGAGCTGGCCGCCGGCCTGACGGTGTGTGTGTTGCTTTCCAGCTCAGAGCCCACGCGGTGGACATGAACGGAAACAAGGTGGAGAACCCCATCGACCTGTACATCTACGTCATCGACATGAACGACAACCGCCCCGAGTTCGCCAACCAGGTCTACAACGGCTCCGTGGACGAGGGCTCCAAGCCAGGTGAGGCCCGCCCGCTTCCCGGTGATGGGCAGGCTCTGCATGGCCCAGGACAGGCCGGGCAGGTGGGCAAGGAGGTGCATCTTCTAGGGGGTTGTGGAGCCCCCCACCGCCACAAGGGCGCCCTGGGACTCGTCCCCCGAGGTTTATTTGGGGATGGTTACTGAGGACCCACCCTGCGCCACCGAACTCACGGTCCAGAGGGGGACGCAGACAAAAGACGTGAATGAGGCCGTTGCAATGCTGACGGGCTTGGAAGGAAACCCGTAGGGGTGGCTGTAGATCAGGGAGCCGCTCTGTGGAGGTGACATGCAGGCCGAGAGCTAAAGCGTGAGAAGGAGCAACGTGCGGAGACAGGCTGGGATCCGTGCGTGTGCTGGAAGGGAGGCAGGGGAAGGGAAGAGCACGTGCAAAGGGCATGGGGCAGGAGGTGAGGTCAGAGAGAAGACGGCCATTCTAGGTCTCCTGCGCCACCCTTGGAATTTGATTCCAAGCACCAGAGGAACAAGTGAGAGGGCCAAGAGGGGAACCCCTGTGGCTGAGACCTCAGAGCTGACCCAAGAACCCGTCTTCCCGCAGACTTCAGTCGGGGACAAAAGGTGACAACCACCTTGTTATGAGCCAGGGCCCTTGCTAAGTGGGTGACGTGTCTGGTCTCTGGATCCCACAACCACCAAGCAGTGGGCACCCACCATGTCCCCTGAGCAAGGACAAGACTCCAGGCCCAAGGATGTGAAGCGGTCGGCCCAGGCCCCTTGGTGTGTGTGTGGGTCCGAATCCCCAGCCGAGGTGGAAGCTTGGCCGGCCTGCTCCCAGGGTGACCCAGGGACCAGCAGACCGCCTGGGAGCGTTGGAAATGCAGAGTCTCTCGCCCACACCTGCTAATTCAGACTCTCCGCAGGTGGGCCTGGGGTCTGGGGGCAAGCCCCCAGGTCATTTCTGTGCTTGCTGAAGTTTAAGAAGCACAGCCCCTCATGGGGGGGTTGGGGGTCGTCCTTGGGGCAACTGCCTGGCTTGGGCGGGGGCGGGGGTGTTGAGCCAAGGGTCACTGAGGAGGCTCCTGCCCGGGCTGCGGAAAGTAGGCGCTAAAATAACTGCCACACAGGTGCCTGGTTACATCTGAAGTTCAGAGAAACAACCAATCTCCTTCACCCGTCAGAATGCCCCGGGCGACATCAGGAACACACTTGGAGTGAAGAGGTCCCCTCGTTGATCTGAACCTCACATGGGCCTGTGGCGCGGGGCAAACGGAGGGCGGAGCTCGCAGAGCCGGAGCCGAGGGCAGGGGACACAGCGCTCGACAGGCTCCCTCTGGGGGACAGCAGGCACCCTGGCTCAGGGGCCGCGAAGGCAAACATTTGCCATCGCTTCCCTGCTGGAGGGGCTGTCACAGCTGCGTCTCCAGGGACTGCCATTTCGACAAGGTGAACTGCGTTTCCCATTGATTGTCTCTGAATCATGAGAGGCAGCCAGCCCGGGGTCAGCAAAGGGAACGAGAGGTGGCATCATTTCTGCCGGAACCTCGGGCACTCTCCCCATCCCCTGAGTCCCCTGAGGGGCAGGGGCAGGTCGTGGGTGGGCAAATTAGCTTCAAGCTGCCAAAGAAAGCGAACGAGGCTGCCAACAGGCAGCTCTTGCAAGAGTCAGCGTGGGGCGTGGGTGTCCGGCTTGGGGGCTTTCTTGTTAACACAGAAGCCTCGCTCCACGAGACCCGGAGCACTCTGTAAAGGCCCCTAGATTTCTATCACAAATCAAGCCTCCCATGTCTTATTTTAAAACAAATCGATAGAGAAAGTCTCCCCAAATGTGCACCTGGCTTCACTCATTAGGACAACAACATAGCGCATCACTGGTCTGCTTCTGGAAATCCTGACGAGACTTTGCGCCCAGAGCCGGGAGCTGCCGCGACCCCCTCGCTCACGGCTGGGTGTGGCCTGGACGCCAGAAGGCTGCTCTTGATCCCAGCATGGGCCCCCTATTCCCGTTCACTCTGGCGCCTTTCCAGGACTGTGTTTGCACTAAATGTTGTCTGACTTTCAGAGCCCCCGGGGGACCCTGGAGTCTGTCTCTGGTCCCAGAACAGCACTCTGGGGGAAACAGTGTCGCCACCTCTTTGTGCAAAGCCAGGGACATAGCGGTGTGAGGCGGTCCCGGGACCCAACTGGACGTCCTCACTCCCCCGGTCAGGGGCGAGGAGATGCCGCCCACACATAGTGGGGCCTGGGGCTCCCCCCGGGACCTGGAAAGGGCCTCCACACTTTCTCCCCTCACGTCAGTAAATTACACTAATAGAAGGGTTTTACACAGTGCCTCTGTGGGATAAGGAAAAACTACCGCCAGAAATTAGTCATTACCCTCTGGAATGATGGGCTAATGAAGGGTTTCAGATGTACGTTCTAATGGAAAACAAACGGAAAGATATGTCCAATATTGACTCAGCTAGATAAGAGCCTTTTAAGATTTGAGTCGGTCACTTGACGTTAGCAAGCCAACTCAGGCCTGGAATCCCAGGCCAGTCCCACGCTTCCCCCACATTCTTTTCCCAGCACCAGGCCCCCCTCAGTTTTATGAAACCCTCTCTGGCATTGCTGGGTTGAACAGACTGGGAGGGTGTGGAAGGCCCGGGATGGCCCCTTCTGGAGCAACAACGTTCACTGCACATTGGGATCAAGAGGGGCCCTCCCCATCACAGCCGTCAGATCTCTGCAGTAAGCAGGGAGTCAAAACCCACCTCAAGTGCCCCTTGGGGAAAGGGACCCATTGTCTCACATAACTGAAAAATCCAGAGACACTGGCAGCTGAGCCGTGGCGATGCCTGTGCTGAAATGGACTTGTCAGGGTCTCGCTGACCACTGCCTGACCCTGCTCTTCTCTGCATTGGCTCCTTCCCTGGGAGGGTCTCTCTTCCTGCCGGCAGGAAGCCTCAGCAGCTGCAGGCATGTCCCTGAGCCTCGGATGTCCCCAGGGGAGGGAGCAGCTCTCCTCCAGTGCCAGCGAGAGCCCGGGGCAGACCCTCCTGGGTCATGTGCCCGTCCTGAGCCAGTCCCCGCAGCTGCGCAGAGACCGTGAGCACTTTTCAGGCACAGAGCCCAGTTCTAGTCTTACCTCAAGTCGCGTGGTCTGAGCATGTGGTAGGCGTGGATCCCCAAAGGAACACCAGACGGTCGCCTCAGAAAGGAGGGGCTGGATGTCAGGTGGACTCAAGGGCAGACGTGCACCACACGTGCCAGGATGTGGGTCACACTGGGGAGGCCGGTGGCCCCAGACCAGGGCTCTCTGCTGGAACTTTCTGTAATGATGGAAATGTTCTATGTCTGGGTTGTCAGCCACCTGTGGCCACTGAGCACCTGAAATGTGGCTAATGCAACTGAGGAGCTGAATTTCTACTTTTATTTAGAATTTAAATAGCCATGTGGGGCTAGTAGCTACCATACTGGGCATCAGGTTTCAGTAGGTGATTTTGGTGGTGCCCACCCACACGGGGCCACCTGAAGCTGCTGGTCACGGCAGCAGTCCCTCCTAACCTCAGGGAGCCTCTTGTCTTTGTCGCAAATCCTGGATGAAACACTAGCGGGCCAGGGGCCACCAGAGCCCCTTGGAGACCCCGTTCATGGTCCACATTAAGAGCAGAAGTGGAAACACGTCTGCTCCTACCCTTCGAACATGGCCTGTGGTTCTCACCCCAAGGGTTTGCTCACGCTGGGCCCCCTATTCCCCATGCACACGCCACCCACTCCTTCCCGCAGAGCCCGCCTTGGCCTCCAACCCTGACCTGTGCCCCTGCCCTGCTGGGCCTACCCCCTGTAGGTGACCAGGTGACCCTGCGCGATGGCTGTCTCTGAGGGGTGACAGCATCTTGCACACGTTCTCCGTCTCTGTGGGCTCCTGCCGTCCACTACGAGTGGGCTCTGATGTGAGTTTACTGTCTAGCAAACGGGTCTTACAAAAGTTGTCATTTCCACTAGGGCCTTCTCTTCCTGGCTTTCAAATTGACCCTAACCCTCATGAATTCAGATTAGTAATAATTTCACATCTGTAATGCAGATGTTTTCCATAAAGAAATGAAGTTTTGTTGATTTCAAGTTCACTAGAAAGCGGAACCAAAATTACAGCTCCGAAGAAAAAAGGGCCAACTGAAATGAGACGGGAGGCCCAGGAGGCTTGTGGCACAGGGCTCCGTGGGGCCCTGGGCTCTGTGGAGGTGTCCCGCGCCCCTGGGTGGGCAGGAAGCAGAGGGCCAGGCTTGTACCCCTCGCACCACCCAGCCAAGCGTCGCCACTCCAACCAATTCATAAATGGGCTTCCGGAGAGGATCTCATTGGAAGAAGGGTCTTTTTAAGAAATCCTATTTCAGATAGTTGTAGATATACATGCAGGTGTAAGAAATGATACAGAGACATCCCACAAACGCTTCACCCAGTTTCCCCCAAAAATAACATCTTGCAGAACTGTTGTGCGAGAGCACATCAGGATGCTGACCTTGGTGCGATCCATGGACCTCTCTCAGATCTCAGCAGTTTTACCTACATGCGTTTGTGCGTGTGTGTGTGTGTGTGTGTGGTTCTATGCAGTTTCATCATGTGTGTAGGTTCGTTTGACACCAACATCAAGACACAGAACAGTTCCATCACAAGGACCCCTCACACCACCCTTCAGAGCCACAGCCACCTCCCCCCCACCCCCCATCCCTAACCCCTGCACCCTCTCATCTGCTCTCCGGCTCTATGACTGTCATTTCCAGACTGTTAAGTAGATGGAATCATAAGAGGATGTTCCCTTTTGGGGTTGGCTCCCTTCACTAGGCCTAATTCTCTGCAGATTCACCCTCGTTGCCATCTGTGTCCACAGCTCATCCTGTTCATTGCCGAGCAGAAGTCCACGGTTCGGGCGTTCCACCGTTGTTCATCATTCACCCACTGAAGGGCATCTAGGCTGCTCCCACTTTGGGGCCATTAAAATAAAGCTGAGAACACTCGTTCACGTCCAGGTCTTTGTGTGAACAT